ATATTGATAGGCCAAAAAATGCATTAACCCCAGTAATGGCAATAGTGTGACATTCTGTCATTGATATGTCTTATCTAATTATGACAACTTTTTCTCTTCCAGCATTTCATCACCTGGTTGCTACCTATTATCGCAATTATTTCGGCATGGATCAATTTCCTGTATATTCTTAGGAAATCACCGTATGGCATTTACATCCTTATGCTCTCACGTATCCTCTATTCATTCTCTCAGGTTTTTTTTTTATTTGAAATCTTCATCAATTCATTTATTTTCCTTTGGTTGGTATAACTTATCTCATAGTTTAACAAATTATAAATTAACAATTTTTTGGCAATATATTTTGATATGTTTAATTTTTTGAAGTTTAATATTTTAATTTGACATTTTATTTTTTAAATATTAAAATTTAAAACTTAAAAGTTGAATATTTTATGCCTTTTTTCATTCAAATGTGTCTTCCTCGATATTATCATCTAACAATGATAATATGTGATAATGTAATGTGAGAGTGAATGGGGAAGGAGGAATCGAGATGGATTGTATTGATTTTTTTTTTTTAAAAAACAGATCCTTGTGTTTTTTTATAGGAAAATAAAGAAAACATAGTGAGAGTTTGAATCCTTGGCCAGAAAGGATCAAGCAAAGAATATAAATCAATCCCGTTCTTTGCCTTTTTTATTGCTTCCTCTTTTATATTTCTTCTTCTCTTGTTTGTTAAATAACTTCAATCGATTCCTAAATTTCTCGGGTAAATGTTCCAACGATAAATTTCTTGAATCCCGCCATTCAGAAAATCTAGTAATAGTATATATTATTAGGAATGGATAACACATTTAGCTATTCAAATGAAATTCCTTTATTCAGATCAATTTGTTTATCTCTTCTTCTCTTATTCTCAAAATCTCAACTTCTCTCCAAAATTACTGATCGAATTTTAATCAATGTTGATATTTTTCAATCGTATCCAAAATATATTAAAAAATTTTTTTAATGATTATAGGGTTAGTAATGATGATAAAAGTGATAACCATTATATATTAGTAACACTGATAAACCATAGCAGTGATAACAAACAGCGATAACAATGATCAGTGTACTGCAGATTGCAATAATATGGATACCAACACTTCTCGCATTTGCATTTGCCTTTCATCTGGTTATGCGTAACAGCGGTCAAGAACCCTGGGAAGCTGCTGAACTGGTTATATCCTTTTACAATTTAAGAACCAACAAGATTTTACAATCTAAAAGCCAATAAGACTTTAAATTTGAATTTTTCACTCGGCTTATAAAACAAAATTCATCGAAATGCCGAATTATTACTTTCAGTTTTCACAAAATTCAACAATGTCTCAGAAACTGTTAATGGTACTACAAGCAATCACAAAAACGTCAGCTATGATGATCGGTTGGCTAATTAATTACTTTTACTTTTACCTCATTTTTTTTACTTTTTCAAAAACAACTTGAACAAAGTTTGCTTTCTAATTGTAATAACAATTGTCTTGCTTACAAAAATTGAAAAAGAATGAAATCTAAAATAATCATTAATCTCTTAAGTTATGTTTAATTCAAAGAATTTCCGATTTGACAAAGTTTTAATTACAGGTGAAGTGGATGCAGATAATGTGTTAGAACGCAAGGAATGGATACCAAACCTGCTTTTATTAGCATTCGAAATAAGCACAGTCATACTACTTATGAATTTAATGGTTAGTAGAATATTTCCAGTTAAATTTGTTCTTTTCATTGTAGTGATTATCAGGTTATAATAATTTGTTACAATAATTAGAGTAATTAGTAATAATTACTGATTGTAATAATGTTTTTTTTTTTCATTGAGATGATTATCAGATTATAGATTATTATAATTAGTAATAATTACAGATATCTCTGGCAGTTGGCGATGTAAATGAGCTTCGCCAAACAGCTCAAGAGAAGTTACTTGACATTAAGGTTAGTCTCTTTTTTCCCCACACTCTTTTACTCTTAAAACTTACTGATATCTCTCAGCAAAAATCATTTTGTTGTAGGTGAATTTCGCGATTGAAGTATTGCAATTATCAGAATCATGCGACTGCTTCTCAACCTATATAAATATGCTCCATCGTAAACAAACTAACAACGTACTCGTGATTCATAATGATGGTACTTCATTCACCACATGGATGAATGTCAACTTTAACGGTACAGGTTTTCACCTGCACTTCTATGTCATCCTGGAAAGTTTACCTTTTTTCCGGGGACTGGGAGGGAGAGAAGTTGAATTGTTTGTTTAAAAATGATCATCTTTAAGATGCGAATAATTTCAATATTTTCAAACAAAATGGTTCCAGAAAAAGGAGTGCGGAGAAATCATTACTCAGGTAATTGTCATTATCATTTATCAGTCAACAATGATGTGATATGATTACAGTATAGAGAATCTGAAGGGGTAAGCAAAAACGAATTTATAACTTCAATATATTTAAATAAAAAGTTTTTTCAGTGATTCAGAAAGGATACCACTAGAAAGTATTGTAGTTAATTACGACAATGGCGAAATTGATAAAGGTAACGATAATGAGCATCAGGTGAATGGACGAAACACGCAGGAATTATTGCATAATGTTTGATCTTTCTCTTTTCTACTTAAATACTTCCAAAGGACATTTTCGATGAATTAAAATAAAATGACAGATTAAAAATCAATCAGTTGACATTATGAGTCATTACAACAATTAAAGTTAATTCAAAAATGATAGATGTCAAGTTCATTTTCCAATTCTTGCAGGTAAGATTGAGATTTCCATAGGCTGAAGTCGATACTTTTTCAGATATACCATCTTCAGTTCCCTTCTGGTGATCGACGAATGCGTTTGTTGAAAAAAGGTATGATTGGTCGAACAGTACAGATTACACTGGACGGTGCAATAATACAGCTTATTGAAAGTACTGAATCCGGAATTGATCCATTCATTGGTACCATTAATGGTCAGTCATACACCGAAATTGTTGATGATCCTGAAAGTTACGGGAGAAAATTTGCACGATGGCTTATTGGTTTAGATTGGTCGAATTTGCTACAATTATAATTGTGCATTAAACTTTATAGCGGGTTGTCTGAAAACGGAGATTGCAACATAGTTTTATCATATCTCTAATCAATAATAAATGCAATCCTCTCACCCATTTTTATCTTCTTTTTTTTTTTCTAATGATATTTTTAAGATTTCCCACCATTGTTATCTCAAAATTTCATTCCCCTTTTTCCACTTTCACATTCTTTAATTCATTAATTCATGTAATTATACAGGTTTATTTTGCCAGTTACAAATCAAATGTATGTGTATAATAAACTTTTAATAAGCTACTTGATACATTTGTTCGTCAAAAGTATCCGGAAAATATATCTATCCGTATAAGCCATATAACTCCAACTTTACAGATAATAGGAAAAAAGTTACGGTTAGCGAAATTTCTATCTTACCGGAAAAGTTACGGATATTTTGATAGTTTCTTTATTTGAAACTCTTCGGATGTATCCATAAAACACTATCTTCCGGTTATGCTTTTTTTCTCTCATTGTTGGCTTATGCTTTCAATCATTTTTTTCTTTCTAAATTTTTAAATATTTAATCATATTTATCACTTTTTATTCAAATATTCCAAGTTTGATTTCTTAAATTACACTTTTAATGGCTTTTCCATGCAACTTAAATAAATGCGCTGAATGCCATTTCCTCATATACTTTTGTATTTGCCCGATAATTTTGATTGATCAAATGTGACAATTGCGCACAATAATCTTTCCTAATTTTTTTAAAATTACTGATAGTTTCATTTATGTGTGAATATTAAAGGAATGTTGAATAAATCGATTTGAATAGTTAAAAGAAGAGTGAATTGATCCTATTAACATATCACAGTCACAGCAATTGTTGCTTGTTTTGGGGGACAGAATCTTTCTAATTGAAAAAATTACTAATCATTTAAACTACGATAATTTCAGCTATTATTAATCGATTAAATGTCACCTTTGAAGATTATCATTTGGAAATGAAATATTTCTTTTAGTATGATATAATCATAGGAGGAATGGATAATGTTTTGGACATTAGCGTTGGACAATTCTCCCATACGTCATTTTAGTAGTCTATTGTAAAAATAGAATTTGAAATTATCATTTTGAAAATGCTCCCATCCATCTATCATTTTTCCTTTGAAGATATTTAAAAGGGTATAAAAGAAGTGAAATGTTTTTGTTAACAAAAATCCAAAAGAATATTTTAAGGATAGAATATGACAGAATATTTAATTAGCCTTTTCTTCTCTTTTCATTCATCAATATCTTTGGCCATCTTAGAAGATATAATTTCCAATATTTTGTATCACTCTTTTTCTCTGATGACATTTTTAAACTTTTCTGAAAATGTCTCATTGTTGATTAATGGATGGGATGGAATTTTCCCATTTTATTTCGTTCCACTCTGATTTCTTTTGACTATTCTTGCTTACTTTATCAAGTAATATTTCTCTTCATCTTTTTTACTTATGATTATTTTGAAAAAAAAATGAAATTTAATTTAACTCTCATTGGCAAACAATTATAAAATTAGTTTTCATATTGTTAAGATTCATATCTGATCAAATATTATATCCTTTTAAATTTTTATTTTTCTTTTTGCATAACTTTGTTTGAACGAGCGATCATAACATATCGAGGAGCATTTCTCTCTCTCTTTCTCTCTCTCTCTCTCTCCCTCTCTCTC